CTCACCTCAGCCTCCCAAAGGCACGGGATTACAGGCTGAGCCACCGAGCCCAGCTTACTTCTAAATTTTAAAAAGTCACCAAATAGCTCAAAACGTTTCTTGTCGCCATCCCCTTCCCACAGACTCCAAGTCGTATGAATGGCTTCCACTGACCACTTAGACACCCATGCTAAAAACCTGCTTTGCTTGTGTTTTTAGTCGGAGTCTCACTTTGTTACCCAGGCTAGAGTATGGTGGCATGATCCCGGTTCACCACAGCCTGGACCTTTCTGGGCTCAAGTGATCCTCCCACCTCAGTCTCCCAAGTAGCAGGTGTGTGCCACCACGCCTGGCTAATTTTTTTGATTTTTTGTAGAGATGAGGTCTTGCTATGTTTCTCAAGCTGGTCACAGACTCCTGGGCTCAAACAATTCTACCATCTTGGTCTCCCAAGCTGCTGGGATTGCAGGTGTGTCGTCTTGTTGTTTTTGGACTTCATGCTTGACTCCACTCTCCCCTCACCCCCACACGGCTAAGTTTTGCTTATTCAGCTGCCTAAGCCTCTCACCCCCTCCCTCTCCTGGACTGACAGGCCTTAGCTCAGGCCTCACCACGTCTCACCTTGACCTCTGCCGCCCTAACTGATCTCCCTGCCTCCAGTCTTTCCCCCTCCAGTTCATTTTCCACACTGAGGTGATCCGGTTTCCAAATATGATCATTTTATCCTCCTGTTCAAACCCCTTTCGTGACTGCATCACTCACAAGATAAAAGCCAAATCCCTGGACCCTGCGGCCTTCCCTTTCTTACAGTACCGAACACCATCCTGTCAGATCTCAGTGAGAACACAAACCACCAGTCAATTATGAACCTTCTTCCCCATTAGACCATCAGGCCTTCGCTGAATTTCCTGTATCCAGCCCAAGCCTGGCATGGAGGAAAAAATGTAGAAAATTGTTGTTAATGATGACCCGAATGCCTGCTGGCTGGAAGATACAGTAATGATCCTGCTTGCTGTGACCAGTCTGAAAGCCCATTTTCAAACCTTGCTTCAAAGGCTGCACAAAAGTGAGAACCCCACCCATGCTGCTCTTATCAACCTATTACCTCCCACAGCAGCCCAGGTACGAAACAGCCTTGGATGGCAGTGAACAGCAAATTATCATGCTTTGCATTTTAATAACTTCTGTGAAATGTCACATTTTGACACTGCTAATGCACACTCCATTGTTCATGGCCCCACCTTAGACTATGACTAAGGGCCTTGTCTCTACAAAAAAAAAAAACTAGCTGGGTGTGTAGTCTCAGCTACTGGGGACGACGACGAGGTGGATGAATCAATCACCTGAGCCCAGGAGGTGGAGGCCACTGTGCCCCATGATTGTCATGATGGTGCCACTGCACTTCAGTCTGGGCGACAGAGTGAGACTTCAACTCTAAATAAATGAATTGCAATGACCATCCCTGGTTAGACTACTTTTCAGAGCTTGATAACTCAATTTTTCCCCCAGCATTGAATAATATTCCAGTGTCTGGATTTAACAGTTAATTTATCCATTCACTTACTAAAGGATATCTTGGTTGTTTTCAAGTTTTGGCAATGGTGAATAAAGCTGCTATAAACATCTGTATGCTGGCTTTTTATGGACACGTTTTCAACTCCTTTGGGTAAATACCATGGATGAGATTGCTGGATCATATGGCAAGAGTATACTTAGCTTTGTAAGAAATTGCAAGGCCGGGTGCAGTGGCTCATGCCTGTAATCCCAGCACTTTGGGAGGCGGAGATGAGAGAGTTGCCTGAGCCCAGGGATATGAGACCAGTCTGGGCAACTTGATGAGACCTTATCTCTACAATAAATCAAAAAATTAGCCAGGTGTGGTGGCTCATACATGCAATCCCAGCACTTTGGGAGGCAGAGATAAGAGGATTGCCTGAATCCAGGGGTTAGACACCAGCCTGGGCAACATGGCAAGACCTCATCTCTACGTCAAAAAATTAGCTGGGCGTGGTGGTGCACGCCCGTAATTCCAGCTACTTGGAAGGCTGAAGCAGAAGGATCATCTGAGCCCAGCAGGCCGAGGCTGTAGTGGCCAAGAGCGTGCCACTGCACTCCAGCATGGGTGAGACTGACTCAAAAAACAAACAAAAATCTGCTGTCTTCCAAAGAGGCAGCACCGTCTTGCACCCCCACCAGCAGTGAATGGGAGTTCCCTGTTGCTCCACATCTTCACCAGCTTCCCGTGTTGCCAGTGTTGAGGATTTTGGCCATTATACTAGCTGTATAGCTGTCTCACAGTTATTCTAATTTGCATTTTCCTGATGGCATGTTATATGAAGTTTTTCATGTTTATTTGCCATCTGTATATCTTCTTTAGTGAGGTTCTGTTAAGGTCTTTGGCCTTCTTTAAATCAAGTTGTCTGTTGCCTGTTAAATTTTAAGAGTTCACTGTGAGGACGGGTGTGGTGGCTCACGCCTATAATCCCAGCACTTTGTGAAGCCGAGGTGAGAGGATTGCTTGAGCCCACAGGTTCGAGACCAGCCTGGGGAACTTAGCAAGACCTCATCTCTACAATAAATCAAAAGAATTAGCCAGGCATGGTGGCGCAGATCTGTACTTCCAGCTACTTGGAAGGCTGAGGCAGAAGGATCACCCGGGTCCAGCAGGTAAAGGCTGCAGTAGCCGTGAGTGTGCCACTGCCCTCCAGCCTGGGTGACAGAGCAAGACTCCAACTCAAAAAAAAGAGTTCATGGTGGTTTTAATTTGCATTTCCCCAGTGATTACTGAGGTTGAACATGTTTTTACATGCTTGTTGGCCTGGTTTAAGCACACCAAAAGCTACTCTACCTTTTAAAAATGAACTGAGCCAGGCTCGGTGGCTCAGCCTGTAATCCCGCGCCTTTGGGAGGCTGAGGTGAGTAGATTGCCTGACCCTGCGGGTTCAAGACCCGCCTGGGCAGAGACCTCATCTCTACAATAAATAAAAAAATCAGCTGGGCGTGGTAGCACATGCCTGTAATTCCGGCTACTTGGAAGGCTGAGGTGGAAGGATCGCCGGAGCCCAGCAGTTCGAGGTTTCAGTGGCTGGGAGCAGCCACTGCACTCCAGTCTGGGCAACAGAGTGAGACTCCAAGTCAAAAATAATTAATTAATTAATTAATTTAAAAAATGAATAAAATAAAAATGAACTTTATGTCTTTTAAAACCTCCCTTCTGCACTTGAGAAGGACCCTCTTCCCTCTATCAACTTGAGGAGGCCGCTGTGCTCAAATCTTCATTCACACAGCAAACCTTTCTTCTAGGACAGCTGCAAGACTGGAAGCCGAAAACAGGAGGTGGTAGACAGATTGGTACTGTTATCAGCAGGAAAATGACAAGCTCGCCCCCTGGTGACAAGCCAGGGAGATAATAGAAAAAGCAAAGGTTCATGAAAAGGTACAACCACCATGAAGAACAGACTCTACGGTACCTGGAATCCGGAGAAAATACTGATAACACAAACTACAATTCCATCAAAATCATTTATTCACAGATTCACAGGGACAGTTAAAAAGGGTCAGTTCCGGGGGACAGAACGTGTCACCAAGTCCTTGCTTACAAACTCCTAGCTGAAGCTGCCTTGGAAATCATCCACCCCCTCGGCATGACAGGCAGCGCCAGGTGACTACATGGGGATGTGATCTGGAACCGTGAATTCTGCTTCATCTTCATTAGCAACCCTAAGGCACGACGACCTTTAGCCTTTATGTTGCACGTCCCTCCTGATCTCTGTAAATTTATCAAAAGATCTGATCCCAAAGGCAAAAAACCCACACCAGTGATTACATAAGTCAAGGGTGGCAGTGGAGACTATTATTCTTAGCTCCTTAAGACCTCGATTACGTAAGTCAAGATAGTTTCTGGTTTTCAAGCCCTAATATGATGATGATGATGGTGATGCTGATGGCTGACTCCTTCAGACCCTGTGGCTGTTAACTTTTCCAACTTCCCACTATACTCCACACCCATCTCTATGGCTTTCAGTTTGCTTCTATTTATCACAGAGTTGAAAACTAAGATCCATAAATATGGGTATCTTCACAGAACACACCCACATAAAGGGACATCGGCTGAAATAAGCACTGCAGGCTACTTCCCAGTAGGTGACACTTCGGGGCAATGGATCAATGTAACCAGAGCTACTGATTCAAGTCCCAAGTTTTCCTGCTCCAGCAGGTTGACCTTCAAGGGTTGCATCAGTCCTCAGAAATAGGAGGTGCCAGACTCAAGCTATTTGATGCCTGGGAGGAAGGGTGGGTCACATTACCCAAATGTTAAGGGCTGGACACTTTTCTGCTGTTCTTTGTGTAGCTGCCAGGCCCGATTTTTTAGCACCTCAGCCTTGGCCTCGTCCTTATCAACACCATCCCCTAGCTTGTACATGCGACTGGCATTGGCACAGGCCCAGATATGGCCCAGGTCACAGGCTTTCATTGAGTATTGACATGCCAGGTCCATGTCCTTGGGAAGGCCAGGGACACCCTGCAGGAACATGGCACTAAGGTTGAAGCAGCTGGCAGCATAGCCACCATCACAGGCCCTTGAGTAGTAGTCCCTGGCCTTCCCCAGGTCGGGCTGGCCATCCTCATTGCCCTGGCCATCATGTGCCAGGAGACCAACGTTGTGACATGCTTCTATAGACTTCCTTCCAGGCTTCTCACATGCCATCAAAAAGCAGCGGGAGGCAGCCTTCAGGTCCTGGGTTAGTCCACCTGAGAGGAAGGAAAGCAAAGAAAAAAGTAAATCCAAGCCAGGGCAGAAACTAAATGTCTCAGGCCAAAGTTAGAGAACAATTCCTGAATAAAGTCCATATACTAGGAGCTCGAGCAGCGTGGAAGGAAGGTAGCCTGACAAAGTGCACAGACCCTCCAGCTTTTTTAAGTCATGCAATCTTTTGCTCAAACAATACCTTATGAAGAAGCCAAAATAAGGAAAGGAGATGAAAACTTGGAACAATAGTAGTATCTACCTCATGGGGGAGGTGACATCTTTTTTTTTTTTGAGTCAGAGTCTTACTCTGTCGTTCAGGCTGGAGTGCAGTGGCACGCTCATGGCCACCCCAGCATCGACCCGCTGGGCTCAGGCAATCCTTCCTCCTCAGGCTTCCAAGTAGCCAGAACTACGGCATGCACTGCTATGCCCGGCTAATTTTTTGATTTATTATAGAGACAAGGTCTCACCAGATTGCTCAGGCTGGTCTTGAACCCCTGGACTGACAATCCTCTCACCTCACCCTCCTAAAGTGCTGGGATTACAGGCTCGAGCCACCACACCCGGCTGAGAGATGACATCTTATAACCACTTACTTAAGTGTTTGTTCATTTATTTATTAATTTATTTTTTGAGTTGGAGTTTCACTTTGCCGCCCAGCCTGGAGTGCAGTGGCACACTCATGGCCACTGCAGCCTCAATCTGTTGGGCTCAGGTGATCCTTTAGCCTCAGCCTTCCAAGTAGCTGGAACTCCAGGCATGTGCTCCCACGCCCAGCTAATTTTTTTATTTATTGTACAGATGAGCTCTTGCCAAGTTGCCTAGGCTGGTCTTGAACCCACAGGCTCAGGCAATCCTCTCACCTTGGCCTCCCAAAGTGCTGGGATTCTAGGCATGAGCCACAGCGCCCAACCTATGTTTGCTCATTTAAACACATCCATGGGTTCAACTAACCATGGATTGAAAATATTAGGAAAGAAAATAATAATACAAATTTGAAAATAATAATACAAATTTTAAAATAATATGGGATAATAGAGAATTTGCATTTTATTAGATATTGTAAGTAATCTAGAGTTAATTTAAAGTATACAGGAGGAGGTGTGTAGGCTATATGCAAACATGATGCCACTTCATATAAGGGACTTGAGCATCCTTGTATTTTGGTATTTGCAGTGAGGTGGGGTAAGGGTTCCGGAACCAATTTCCCACAGAAACCAAGGGACAACTGTATATTGAATGTTTATTAGTTGCCAATTATTGTGCTAGATCCTGGGAAACAAACAACACTGTCCTGCCCCTGTGGTCTTATGGTCTAATGAGACAGACATTAAATAACTATTCACACAGGCACAGTGGATCACACCTATAATCCCAGTGCGTTGGGAGACCAGGATAGCAGGCCACTTGAGGTCAGGAGTTAGAGACCGACTTTGGCAACAGAGTGAGATCCCCATCTCTGTAAAAAAACCAAAAAATTAGCCAAGGATGGTGGCATGCACTTGCAGTCCCAGCGTCGGTCTGCTGGACTCAGGCAATCCTTCCACTTCAGCCTTCCAAGTAGCCGGAACTACCAGGAGTGCGCTACCACGCCTGGCTAATTTCTGATGTATTGTAGAGCCGAGGTCTCACCAAGTTGCCTGGGCTGGTCTTGAACCCGCAGGCTCAGGCAATCCACTCGCCTTGGCCTTCCAAAGTGCTGGGATTACAGGCTGAGCCACCGTGCCAAGTCAGGTCTTTGTTTTTATATTCAGTCTGACAACCTCTGCCTTTCATGGGAGTTTAAGTCTATAATCTTGTTTCCCACTTATCCCAAACGTATTTTTCTCCTTTCCTGCCTCCATTTGATTTGTATATTTCTTATATTCCATTTCACTTCCACCATTGGCTTTTTAGTTATCCTCCTTTTTTCCTGTGGTTTATCTAGTGATTGCAGCATATATCCCTAACTTATCACAACCGAGCATGAACTAATACTACACCACTTCACAGACAGTGCAAGGTCCTTACTGAGACAGTTCTTTCTGTTCCTTTTTTCTTTTAATAAACCTGCTTTTGCTTTACCTTGTCAGTTCAATTTTGACTTCTTTCCTATGTGAAGCCAAGAACCCACTTGGCCTCTTGGGCAGGACTCCAACTTTGGGGTCCCCTGGCCTGTATCATTACAACAGTATACTTTCATTTACCACATCTCTATCCCTTGTACTTTTGCTGTCATGTGTTTTTACTCCTGTTTATAGTAAACCTCGTAACATACTGCTATTATTTTTGCTTTAAGCAGTCTTTTAAAAGACATTAAGATATGAGAAAAAAGTCTTATATTTACACACGTTTTCCAGTGTTATTATTTTGTATGGATCCTAGTTTCCATCTGTTATCATTTTCTCTCAGCCTAAACAACTTTGTTTAGCATTTCTTGTAGTCTAAATCTGCTAGTGATTCATTCTCTCAGTTTTTATCTGAAAGCAGGTTTATTTCACCTCCGTTTGAAATTCATTTTAGGCATAGTAGCTCACGCCTGTAATCCCAGCACTTTGGGAGGCAGAGGCAAGAGGACTGCCTGAGCCAAGGGTTTGAGATCAGCCTAGGTAACTTAACCAGACCTCATCTCTACAATAAATAAAAAAATTAGTCTGGTATGGTGGTGCATGCCTGTAGTTCCAGCTGCTTGGAAGGCTCAGGCAGAAGGACTGCCTGAGTCCAGCAGAATGGTAGTAGCCATGAGCGAGCCACTGCACTCCAGCCTGGGCAAGTGAGATTCTGACTTAAAAAAAAAATCATTTTAGCCGGGCTTGGTGACTCAGCCTGTAATCCCGCGCCTTGGGAGGCTGAGGTGAGTGGATTGCCTGAGCCCGCGGGTTCGAGACCCACCTGGACAACTTGATGAGACTTCATCTTTACAATAAATCAAAAAACTAGCCGGGCGTGGTAGCGCACGCCTGTAGTTCCAGCTACTTGGAAGGCTGAGGTGGAAGGATCGCCGGAGCTCAGCAGGTCGAGGCTGCAGTGGCCAGGAGTGGCCACGGCACTCCAGTCTGGGCGACAGAGTGAGACTCCGACTCAAAAAATAAAAATCATTTTAATTCAAGTTTAAACAATTCATAATTAATTAATTTTGAGTCAAGTCTGACAATTTTTTTTTTCGGTTTCAGCATTTAAAAGATGTCATTCTGAGCCAGGCTCGGTGGCTCAGCCTATAATCCCGCGCCTTTGGGAGGCTGAGGTAAGTGGATTGCCTGAGCCCGCAGGTTCGAGACCTGCCTGGGCCACCTGGCGAGACCTCATGTCTACAATAAATCAAAATTAGCTGGGCATGGTAGTCTGGGTGACAGAATGAGATTCCAACTCAAAAAAAAAAAGATGTCATTCTGTCTTCTGGCTTACACTGATTCTGATGAGAAGTCAGCAGTTTCTTACCATTGTTTCCGAGTGTGTCTATTTTCCCTATCTGCCTTTAAGATTGTTCTCTTTATCTTTATAAATAAACTGACTATAATGTGTCTAGGTGTGATTTTCCCTGGTCATCCTGCTTAGGTTCCCTGAGTTTCATGAATCTGTGGGCTGATATTTCTCATCAAATTTGGAAATTTTTCATTTGTTATTTATTCAGATATGTTTTTCTGTTCCAATCATTCTTGTTTTTCTTTCTGGAATTCCAATACATGTGTGTCAGACTGGTGAATACTGAATCACAGGGGAGGTTTTTTTTTGGCTTTTTCCCCTAAGTGCTTCAGTTTAGATACTGTCTATAATCCTGTCTTCAAACCAGGTGCCATGACTCACACCTGTAATCCTAGCTTTTTGGGAGGCAGAGATGAGAGGGTTGCCTGAGCCCATGGGTTTGAGACCAGCCTGGGCAACTTGGTGAGATCTCATCTCTACAATAAATCAAAAATTAGCTAGGCGCGGTGGCACATACCTGTGATTCCAGCTTCTTGGAAGGTTGAGGTGAAGGATCACCTGAGCCCAGCAGGTCGAGGCTGTGGTGGCTGTGAGCGTGCCACTACACTCCAGCCTGGGCAACAGAGTGAGACTCCAACTCAAAAAACAAACAAACAAAAAAGTGAGCCAGGCATAGTGGTGGGCATTGGTGGTTTCAGCTACTTGGAAGGCTGAGGCAGAAGGATCACCTGAGCCCAGAAGGCCAAGGCTGTGGTGGCTGTGAGCATGCTACTATACTCCAACCTGGGCATCAAAGTGAGACTCTGACTCAATAAATAAATAAATAAATAAATAAATAAATAAATAAATAAGTTTCCCAGACTGGTCTTAAATCCTGGGGCTCAGGCAATCCTCTTGCCTCAATCTCCTAAAATGCTGGAATTACAGGTGTGAGTCACCGTGCCCAGCTTACTTCTCCTATACAGAATGTGATAGAAATGAAAAGTATGTGAATTTCAAAGGTAGGCCATAAAAATTCTGTGGATTCCATCTTGTTCCCTCTCTTGGATTACTCACTCTGGGGGAAGCCTGATGCCATGTCAAGCAGCCAGTGAAAAGAACCATGTCCCAAGGATCTGAGCTATCCTGATAACAGCTGGCAATGAACACAGGCCTTTGTCATTAGCCATTTGAGTAAGCTATCTTAGAATCCAACTCCAAGCTGGATGTGGTGGCTCACACCTGTAATCCCAGCACTTTGGGAGGCAGAGGCAAGAGGATTGCCTGAGCCCAAAGGTTCAAGAATAGCCTGGGCAACTTGGCGAGACCTCATCATCTCTACAATAAATCAAAAAATCAGTCAGGCGTGGTGGTGTATGCCTGTGGTCCCAGCTACTTGGGAGGCTAAAGTGGAAGGATCACCTGAGCCCAGTAGGTGAGGCTATGGTGGCTGTGAACGTGCCAGTGCACTCCAGCCTGGACAAAAGAGTGAGGGTATGACTCAAAAAAAAGGAATCCAATTCCAGCCAAGCCTTCCAATGACTGCAACCCTTGCTCCCTGGTCAATGTTGTTTTTTGTTTTTTTTTTTCAGTTTGGAGTCTCACTCTGTTGCCCAGGCTGGAGTACAGTGGCACATTCATGGTCACCACAGCCTTGACCTGCTGGGCTCAGGCAATCCTTCCACCTCAGTTTTCCAAGAAGCTGGATCTACAGGTACGTGCCTCTACACCTGACTAATTTTTAAAAAATTTATTGTAGAGATGAGGTCTCGCCAAGTTGCCCAGGCTGGTTCGAACCCCTGGGCTCAGGCAATCCTCTAACTTCCGCTTCCCAAAGTGCTGGGATTACAGTTGTGAGCCACTGTGCCCAGCTCAGCCAACATCTTGACTGCACCTCATGAGATACCTTAAGGCACCCAGTTAAACCACTCCTAAATTCCTGACTCACAGAAACTATAGGGGTGATTTGTTATTTACCAATGGATAACTTAAACACTACTTTAGTGATAATTACAATCAGTTATCACTGAGGAAAAAATATATAAGGGAATTAACAATTACTGACCCCTTACTCTGCATAGGCACATGCTGATGCCTTGACCTGTTTAATCCTGTTTAATCCCCACAACAACCCTACAAAGCAACTACTATTTCCCTCCGACTTACAAGTGATGTAACTGAAGCACAGAGTTAAAGCAATTGGCTCAAGTTCCCACTACTTGCAAATAGCATTCCTTAAAGTCTGCCTGCCTTGATAGGCGGTACTCTTTTCCCCATCACTCTGCTGATGTTTCATCTCCAAATCTTCCTGCAACGCACTTCCCCAATGCCTGTGATGACCCTTCTGCGAAAAAGCACACCTTGCAGCTCAGCTGTGCTGCCAGCACTGGTACCGACGACAAGGACAAAGAACACAGGCCCCTCCTTACCTTTTCCAGTCACATAATAGGCCCCCAGCTTGTAGCAGCTGTCACTGTGCTTGTACTCTTCACAGTTGAACTTCAACACCTTGGCAGCCTCGTCAAAATTCTTCTGGATCCCTTCCAAATAGTCCACCAGCCGATAGCAACCTGTGAGGAGAGGGCAAGAGCCATTCCTCATGTCTAGGGCTGCTGCTCCAGCAAGGAAAAGGCCCAGGTGCAGCAGGTCACACTGTGTATTTTATTTAAGACAGCCCCTGTCCTCCTGAGGTGTGGCAAGCTGACCTTGCCCCAAAGAAAGCAGATGGTGTTCAGTCATTCCTACAAATGGCACTGTCTCCCCTTAGCCACAGACTGAGCAATGAGTGGACTAGGGATGGCCCCTGCATTGACTCCACTGCTCACCAGCCTTTCCACTCCTTGTCAGCCCAGCCTAAATATCCACTGACTTGCATGATTAAAGTGTTGCTAGCTTCGGGCTGGGTGTGGTGGCACGTGCTCATAATACTAGCTACTCCAGAGGCTGAGGCAGGAGGATCACTTGATCCCAGGAGTTAGAGGTCGCAGTGAGCTATGATGGGGCCACAGCCTGGCAACAGAGCAAGAGGGGTATGGAGGAAGTGTGTGAGGGGATATAATTGGGCATTGATAACAAGTATGCTAACAATCGAATAAATATTTAATATAAAAAAGTAAAATATCAGTTTATCTACGAGAAGAAATGGATTTTAGGGGAGTAAGGATGTAAACAGAGAGATGTGAACAGAGAGTATCCAGGTCAGATAACTGAAATAATCAGTTTCCAAGGAAACAGTGATGCCGGTTGCTATAGTAACTATAGCCTCTTCTCAGGTCTCCTTCTAAAGTACTGCAGCCAGCCCTTCTCACGTGTCCACCCTTCCCTACTCTGTTGCTCTGTGTATTCTACACAATACACTACCATGAACTCGCTCCTCAAACAACATGGACGGCTGTTCACTGTCTATAGAACAAAGTCTAAATTCCTTACTCTGGCATTCAAGACCTGACATGGTGTGGCCCAGACTCCTGCTTCAAACAGAATTCTGACTACTGCCTGACTACAACCTTCCAAAAGATAGCACTTTATTCTCCCACATCTCCTCCATTTAACCGACACAACTATCCCTCCAGACCTCAGCTCCAAGTCTTCCCAACCACACTGCTCCTCAGTGTCCCCAATTCCACTGAGCTCTCTTTATACTTAGGGCATGAACCAGTCCTCAAAGAACAACCTAGGTTCTTTATGAGCCATCACCCTGCACAACTCTGTGTTATGGTTATGTCATGGTCTGTGCTATGGTTAGCTTCAAAAAATAGCTATGCCATTTCTGGAAACCAGGCTGCAAGCTATTAGCAGGTAGGGCCAGTGCCCTTTTTTTTTTCATTGCCTAAAAACAAACAAGCAAATAAATAAATAGCCAGGCGCAGTGGCTCACGTCTGTAATCCCAGGACTTTGGGAGGCTGAGGCGAGAAGATTGCCTGAGCCCATGGGTTCAAGACCAGCGAGATCAACATTGTGAGACCTCCTCTCTACAATAAATCAAAAAAATTGGCCAGGCGTGGTGCCGTGCGCCTGTGGTTCCAGCTACTTGGAAGGCTGAAGCTGAAGGATCACCTGAGTCCAGCAGGTTGAGGCTGCAGCGGCCGTGAGCGTGCCAGTGTGCCACTGCACACCAGCCTGGATGACAGAGTGAGACTCCAACTCAAGTAAACAACAAACAAACAAATAAAGTAGGAAGAAGAAAACTACCCAGAAGTATTGGCTGCTCTGAGTGGTCCCCTCTGGACACCACCATCCACCCATCCTCTCAACTCAACTCAAGACTCACCCAATACCTAGGGTGCATTCTTCCTCAGGGCCTTTTCATCAGCGACTTCCTTTACCTAGCAATCTGCATGGTTCTCTCCCTTTCCTTTTTCCAGGCTTTGTTCAAATGCCACTTTCTCGGTGATTTCCCTTGATCACGCCATTTAAAATCGCCCACATGAACTCCTGGTCCCCTTCACCCAGCTCTTTTTTTCTCAGCACTTACTTCCTAACACTATTTCATGAATTTCCATCCGATTCCCCCCACCAGTTTGTAAGTTCAAGGAGGACATGGACTTTTATCTTCGCTGGCGCATCCCCAGTCCCTCCATTCCCCGAACCCCCAAACCCCAGCCCCTCCATCCCCCGGGCCCCAGCACGCCCGCTCCTTGCCCCTGGGCCTTTCCAGGCCCTGTCCCCGCCCCCCTCCTAACACACGCGAGGTCGGGCGTGTCCCACAGATCCCGTCCCGACGAGTCCCCGGCCGCCACGTGTCCCTTCCAGCGCCTGTCGGAGGTCGCCCGCCCGACCTCTCGGCCCGCGCCCCCCCCCACGCGTCTCCACGTGTCCCCGGGCCGCGCGCTCACCGTCCGGATCCTTTTCGCGGTAGCACTGGTAGTTGCACAACACCTCCATGTTCTCCAGAAAGGACCTCACCTGCTCCTCGTCCTGGAAGTCCACTATGGTGGCCATGGCTCGGGCTCGGGCGCGGGTTCGGACTCGCCCCGCCCGGGGTGCTCGGGTGGCCCGGCGCGCCGCCCCCGCGTCACGTGACCGGCGGAGGGGCGGGGCGTGAGAGCGGCGGGTCGCCGTCGTGACGCTCTCCCGGCTCGCGAGCGCCCGGCGCGGCGCTCCTGGCCTTCCCGTCGGTCCTCGCGCCGTTGAGGCTTCGTGGCCTCGCTGCACCCGGTCACCCCATTCCTGGGGCTGGTGGCGGTCTCTCTCCCCCCGAGCCGGGGGCTCTGTCACTCAGGCATGATCACGGCTCACTGCAGCCTCGACCTCCTGGGCTCAGGCCGTCCTGCCACCTCAGCCTTCGGGTAGCTGGGACTACAGGCGCGCGCCACCAAGCCCGGCTAGTCTTTAAAATTATTATTATTATGGGGGGGCGGGTAGAGATGAGGTCTTACTATGTTGCCTAGGCCGGGCTTGAACCCCAGGACTCAAGCAGTCCTCCTGCCTCTGCCTCCCAAAGTGCTGAGATTACAGGCTGAGCCACCGCGCCGACCTGCAGCACCTCGTCCGTGTCCGCTTTGTGGCCAAATGATTTTTCTGCCTGCAGTCGTTTATCCGCTTCTAATCCCTCAGCGCCTACTGTGTGCCTTTCCAGGTGCGTTGTTCTAGGGGTGTAACAGCTGGAAAGTGTGGTCCCTGACTTCTAAGAGCTTGCAGTTTAGTAGGAAGACATTCATTTATTCCTTCAGCACGCATTTTGAGGACCTGGACAAATCAATAATCAAGTCAGTGCAAAATGCCATGGGAAGTCTGATTCATCTCTAAATACTCTTCCCAGACCCGTCTGGGTCACCAACGTAAATTACCTAAGCAATGAATGACTGGGAGATAATGACAGGAGCACAGTAGCAGTAGAGGTTGTAGTAACGTCACTGTTATAATAGCTAATGCTTAAACCGAACTGAACTTTGTTCCAGGCTCTATTTCCGAGAATTTTATATGAATCAACTTACTTAATTCCATTCTGACACTCCCTGTGACACTGTGGGCGTCACATACACTATGGGTTAGATATTAATATTATGTCCATTCTGCAGATAAGGAAACTGAAGGACAGAGAGGTGAAGTAACTTTATCCAAAATCACATAGTAAGTGAGGGTAAGCAATACATATTTTTTCAAATAAAACCATGAGTGAGACAGAGACGCATGTCAAGTGATGGAGAAGAGAAGAGGAACGTCACCTATTTTTCACGTTGTTCTCCTGCTCCTAAGACTCATCAGATCCATAAAGCCTAGATGGAAAGTTCTTCAAAGATAGTTCCTATTTATCTTTCAATCCCATCCAGCCCTAGCCTAGAACCCTCAGTGGATCTCGATCCATGGCTTTCCATCATCTATAGCAATGCTTTCGAAATGGCTCCACTACTAAACTGTCCCTGATAGCTGCAGAGAATGGACTATTTCCAACCACTTTATTGGAGGATAGCCTACAGCAGCTGGGACATATCTGAAATCCCAGTTTTATTTTTTATTTTTATTTTTTTGAGTTGGAGTCTCACTCTGTCGCCCAGACTGGAGTGCAGTGGCCGCTCCCGGCCACCGCAGCCTCGACCTGCTGGGCTCCGGCGATCCTTCCGCCTCAGCCTTCCGAGTAGCAGGAATTACAGGCACGCACTACCACGCCCGGCTGATTTTTTGATTTATTGTAGAGATGAGGTCTCGCTGCCCAGGCAGGTCTCGAACCCGCGGGCTCAGGCAATCCACTCACCTCAGCCTCTCAAAGGCGCGGGATTACAGGCTGAGCCACCGAGCCCGGCGCCAGTTATATTTTTAAAGTTCATATGATTTTACATTCAATTTCATAATCTTTCAAAGGATAAGAAGATTGCCTTTCCCTCAAGCCTTTGAGTAAAATTGACATTCCAGGTGATGTGCCACATTTACATGTAGTGTCTCATACCCCTGATCACCTTAGGGAATGCCTCAGTACACATGGCCCAGGTCAGGAATTCCTGAACTTTGGTCTGAGCTCATCTGTAGCTCGACCTTCAAGGCCCTGTTCAGTCTGATTCTAGCCTCATCTTCTGCCTCTTTTCCTCCACATCCCACCCAACTTTCTGTTATCTGAATAGGTCCCAAGTTTATGTTCCTGTTTATCTCTACTCTTGAGACCTGGACCACTCTTCTTGGCCCATATCAGAAATCCTCTCCTCTGTAAAGTCTTTACAGGTGTAACAACCACACACACATTAAAAATAGATTAGAAAAAAAAATTAGATGCTCCCATTTCAGTGCTCCTCACCACTTGGTTATTCTGGTGTAGTGTAGCAGGAAAGGAATGACTTTGGAGGGGAGACTGATTCTAGTTCAGAATCTGTGTCCCATGTTTACTAAATTGTGACCTTAAACCAATCAGAAGAGCCTGATTCCTTTTTTGTAAATGCAGCTCCATTTACATTTTTTTTTTTTGAGTTGGAGTCTCACTCTGTCACCCAGACTGGAGTGCAGTGGTCGCTCCCAGCCACCGCAGCATCGACCTGCTGGGCTCCAGTGATCCTTCTGCCTCAGCCTTCCAAGTAGCTGGAATTACAGGTGCACGCTACCACGCCTGGCTAATTTTTGATTTATTGTAGAGATATTCTGAAGTTGCCCAGGCGGGTCTCGAACCCGCAGGCTCAGGCAATCCACTCACCTCAGCCTCCCAAAGGCGCGGGATTACAGGCTGAGCCACCAAGCCCAGTTCCATTTACAGCCTTATGTCAGAAGAACGAAAAGTTCGCATATGCAACGTTCTTAGCACAGTGCCTGGCTCAGTCATTCCCGTTCCAGAAATGTATCTTGTCTTGCCTATAATGGCATGAAAGTTTGTGTTCCTCATCAGACTGTGACCTTTGTGTTGGTCACAGGGTCAAGAATAGAGCAGGGCTTGATGAGGGTGATGGAGATCACTGAAGTCTGGGGGTACTTTTTTCTTCATCTCCTTTGGGGAGTTGAACTGCGTTGAAATGAGATCACCTGAGCAGCAGAGGGCGATAGAGATTTGGTAATAGATGGCAGAGAAGCTGAGCCAAGTATGAAGTCACATATTTTAAAAGGAAATCTGGATGGGTGCTGTGGCTGAGGTAAGAGGATTGCCTGAGCTCATGGGTTCGAGACCAACCTGGGCAACTTGGCAAGACCTCATCCCTACAATAAATCAGGGCGTGGTGGCGCACACCTGTAGTTCCAGCTACTTGGAAGGCTGAGGCAGAAGGATCAACGGAGCCCAGCATGTCAAGGCTGCGGTGGCTGGGAGCATGTCACTGCCCTCCAGCCTGGGTGGCAGATTGAGATTTCTACTCAGAAATTAAAAATAAAAGTAAAAAAGAAAATAGTGTCAGCTGAGCATGGTGGCTCACACCTATAATCCCAGCCCTTTGGGAAGCTGAGGTGAAAAGATTGCCTGAGCCCATCAGTTTGAGACCGGCCTGAGCAATTTGGTGAGATCTTGTCTCTACAATAAATCAAGGAATTAGCCGGACATGGTGGCACTGTGGTTCCAACTACTTGGAAGGCTGAGGCAGAAGGATTGCCTGAGCCCAGCAAGTCAAGACTGAGAGGTCCGTGAGTGTGCCACTGCCCTCCAGCCTGGGAGACAGAGACTCCAACTCAAAAAAAAAAAAAAAGAAAATCTGAGGTAATCAAAGAGCAGCTTCTTGTATTTGGTCTTGTTCTTATTTCTGTAGATTTGTTTACTCTCTACTCTTGTTTGCATTTACTTTTTAAACTTAATTGTTTTAATTGCTGAAATAATACATTAATGTTTATCATTAATTAATCTCATGTTTTTTGCCTACTGTCCCTTTTCTATCAGCTTGGTTCAGGTTGTTGACAAAGCTGTTGTAGAGAAACTGAAGGTCAGAGAAGTTATGTGATTTACCCTAAAACACACAGCGAGAGGACTGGGAGAAGCCAGGCCTTCTGTAATCCTGGAGTCCACCACAACCATCCCAGATCCTGATGGGAAGAATTCAGGAGTGTTACAGAGCTCACCTCCTAATTCCAGGCATAGATTTAAATAATACTTATTGATCACTAACTATGGGTTTAGTACTTTTGATACATTACTTCATTTATTCCTCAGAGCATTACTCTTCATTCAGCAAACACTCCCTGGGTACTTAATAATGACTGCAGCTTAAAGGATGCAAAAGTGAAGAACACAAGATTTCAACAAGAACATGCAATTCTTGGAAGAGGAGAAACCCAGGCTGGGTGCGGTGGCTCAAACCTGTCATCCCAGCACTTTGGGAGGCCAAGGTGAGAGGATTGCCTAAGCCCATGGGTTCAAGACCAGCCTGGGCAACTTGGTGTGACCTCGTCTGTACAATAAACTAAAATTAGCTGGGCATGGTAGCCCATACCTGTAGTTCCAGTTACTTGGAAGGCTGAGATAGAAGGATCACCTGAGCCCAGCAGGTCAAGGCTGTGGTGACCATGAGCATGCCACTGCACTCCAAGGTGGGCGACAGAGTGAGACTCTGATGCAAAAAAAAAAAAAAAAAAGGAGAGGCGAAGCCCTGGTTAATCAACATATGATAAGATGTTCCTCCTAAGCCGGGGGCTCGGTGGCTCAGCCTGTAGTCCCGCGCCTTGGGAGGCTGAGGTGAGTGGATTCCCTGAGCCCGCGGGTTTGAGACCCACCTGGGCAACTTGGCGAGACCTCATCTCTACAATAAATCAATAAAATAGCCGGGTGTGGTAGCGCGTGCCTGTAGTTCCAGCTACTTGGAAGGCTGAAGCGGAAGGATCGCCAGAGCCCAGCAGGTCGAGGCTGCGGTGGCCGGGAGTGTGCCACTGCACTCCAGTCTGGGCAACAGAGTGAGACTCCGACTCAAAAAAAAAAAAAAAAAAGATGTTCCTCCTAATGATCAAAGGAAGGCAAATTAAAAATAGTGCCACATTTTTCATCTACTAGATGAACAAAATTAGCACCTTATGTTTATGAGATTGCTGATAAACCAGCATTCCCATACACT